GAGGTGCCTGGCCAGTCTGGGTGAGGGGCTGCAGGCTGTTTTCAGGCTGGGGGGTGACTGAAGCTCCCAACTGCTCCTTTTTTTCTTTTTTCTTTTTAATTCTGGGCCAGCTTTAGCTTTGAGGCTTGGCTCCAGCTCTTAGGCCTCCGCTGCTGAAAGTAGGTTTCTGGCCTTTGCTTACAATATTGCGATCCTGCTGGCTGAAGTCTGGCGGTATTTGTTACATAGTTTCTTAAACTGCAGGCTCAGAGGCCTGCAGCTGCAGGCGGGGAACGTTGGTTTCCTCCGTCACTGAGGCAAGCAAGCCTCATGTTAGTTTCAAGCTGCCTGGCTGCTGGCCGCCATCTTGGCTGTCAGTTAATTTGCATATCTTGCTGATTAGCCAATGGGAAGGGTAGCGGTCGTACCCCAATTACCATGTTTCTCTTTTATTAGTGTAGATTACTCAAAGACTAATTGCAGAAGTTTAATTACTATCATGTATTGTCCATAACCTAGGGCAAGTAAAGTTAACAATAATAAAAAATAAATAAACCTTATTTCAGATTAATTTAAATTAGCTAATTGCTAGAAGAAAACTTTTAAGAAAACTTTAATTGTACTGTACAGGAAACTGTTCCTGAAGTTGTAACTAATTTTTATTGATGGTTCATCTCATAGTAAAATTGCTTAACATACAATGAATCATATTTCTATACAAGAAATTGAAGTTAAAAGTTAACAAGACTGAATTGCAAAATTTCCAAAAAGCCTCCTAATATTTAAATCAAAAAAGGGGGGATAGTGGAATAATGCTCTGTAAGTAAAAGCCTTAATTGCTTTAAATTTTTACTTTGAAAATTATTTTTCACTTGTAATTCTAATAGCAAGACACCCATAAAAACACTCATGGTGTCAAAATAAGCCAAAGGAAAATTGTTTGGGCAAAAATTAAAAGGATCCCAAGTCTAATTTATAAAATGATTGCTTTATTAACCTTTGGTCGAGAATATGTTTGTATATTTCCAGAAAACTCCTCCAAGCCCATGTGGATTCCTGCAACAACAGATCCCGGAGAGGAACTGACGGGACTGCTCCAGCCACAGAATAGCAGTGGCCCCAGAACAGAAGAGAAACAGTCCAGAAATGGAGATGGTGAAGACGCCTTGCCATGCTAGCAGTCAGCAGCTGTGCGTAGCTGCAGGTTGCCTAGGACCAAACTAGGGAGGGTCAGACCTGCATTGCCACCGTCTGTCCACCATCCAGAACTGAAATATCATTGCTGACATGTACACATAAGAAACTGTTGGACATTGAAATTGGGACTCTAAGAACTGTTGGCCCAGAAAGAAACTCACTGCAAACTGATTCCTTTAATGCCTGGCAGCAATTTAAAGGGACATGATAGAACTCTGTCCTTTCCATTGAATTTAAAAATCTTAAAACATACATTCTTGTTAAATTTTAAATAATCAAAAAGGGCGAGATGCCAGGGACCAATTCTAGAATGACAGCAGGGCTGAATCTGGGAATGGCTGATGGCATTTCCCCAAACCTGAAGAGGATGCATTAAATTGATTGTTTGCTGCCACACAGCTCAGGGCATTTTAATCTACATGTTATTGCCTCCTACTGGTCAAACACCTGAATAGCCATAGGCTAATTCTCCCCATTCTGACAATGCCTCTGTATAGGACACCCTGACCCTTTGAAGTGTATATTTCTGCCTCGCCTCAGGACAATTTGTATTAATAAAAAGCATGGGTTCCTGAGATGAGGAGATCTTAGTTTCCTTTAAACTAGGTTCGTCTGACCCCCAAATGCCTTTCAAAATTATGCTTCGTCTCTGGACTCCTATTTAATGTGTGCACAGCCTTCTCCAGATTTCCTGAACCCTTCTTAATGCTGGAACAAGAACCCCAGGAATTTTGTATTTTTCAATGCTTATTAAGAATAAAAAGTGTTGTTTAAAACACACACACACACCCCTCTACACACAATAGACAGACTCGAATCAGGTGACTGGAGGATCACGCGGGATCTCACCCGCTGTTCTGACCTGCTCCCAGGTCTCAAGGCTCGGAATACAACCCCCTTCTCTCAGGCACCCACTGTCACCTACACGCACAGCAAACCTCCTCCCCGGTGAGGCTGCATCTTGTGGCTCACAGTGAATTATCAATTAGCAAGAGCTGATGGCAGGAGGTGTGATCATGGCGATTTTATTTCTATATTTGTACTTTTTTCTTAAAAATTTTTTATTGGTTTCAGAGAGGAAGGGAGAGCTAGAACATCAATGATGAGGAGAGAGTCATTGAGCAGCTGCCCCTGCATGCCTCCTACTGGGGATTGAGCCCGCAACCTGGGCATGTGCCCTGAGAATCAAACCATGACCTCTTGGTTCATAGGTTGACACTTAACCACTGAGCAACACCAGCCGGGCTGTATTCTTTTCTAAATTTCTAAAATGTCTATTGTCGATACTGAGTTTACATTATTTAAAAAAGAAAGAAAACTTTTAAACGGATATTCTAGCCAAGAAGGGGTAATACACTTACATTCTTGCCTGAAACAGTAGAAAAACAAAAACAGACAAAATATAATAAATAATGACTCTCAAGATACCATGCAGTAGGCAACAGAGACACCTGAGAGACAAGGTGAGCCTCCTAGCTTGCCACAGTCAGAAACAAGACAAGAATTGCCCCCCCTCCACACTGTGCTGGGAGCTCTAGCTAGGAAACTGGGCAAGATTGAGAAACGAAAAGAAAGAGCACAACTCTCTCTCTTTATAGATGACATGATCCTATACTAAGCCCCTAAAGAATCTACAATAAATAAATTTAGCAAAGCTACAGGATATAAAATCAATACCCAAAAACCAACTGCATTCCTTACACTAGCAATGAACAATACGAAAATGAAATTCAGAAAAGAATTCCAATTATAGTAGCATCAAAAAGATAGGAAGCCCGACCAATGTGGCTCAGTGGTTGAGTGTTGACCTATGAACCAGGAGGTCACAGTTTGATTCCTGGTCAGAGCACATGCCCAGGTTGCAGGCTCAGTCCCCAGTGGGGAGTGTCAGGAGGCAGTCAATCAATGATTCTCTCTTATCATTGATGTTTCTATCTCTCCCTCTCCCTTCCTCTCTAGGAAATCAATTAAAAAAATATGTATATTAAAAAAAAGAGATATGGAAGCAACCTAGGTGTCCATCAATAGACAGAAATGGATAAAGAAGAGGTTGTATGGAATATGACTCAGCCATAAAAAGAATGAAATCTTATTTGTAACATGGATGGACTGGTTCTGGGCCACAAAAGAAGTCTCGACAAATTTAAAGTATTTCTATCTGTTTTATTCTGAATATACTAGTAAACCTGTGTGTGTGTGTGTGTGTGTGTGTGTGTGTGTGTGTGTGTGTGTTGGGGGAGGGATGGGGAGACAGGAGGGACCAGCCCCACAAGGAAGCACTGGGAAATGTGTCACAACGGCCTGCGGCTCCACTGGGGCAGCCCGACGTGATCAAGCATCGCCCTCATCCACAACGCCCAAACGCCTTTTCTCCCAGGGTCCACTGGGAGGCTGTGCTGGGCCAGGCAGGAAATGCGGAGCTTGCGGAATCACGTGTGAAAGCGACCCAGACAACAGAGCATGAGGAAATGAGAAAACCTCTGTCAGGTACTGCACTCCTGGGAGCTGAGATCCAGGGAACCCGTGAAACTGCTCCCACCGCGTCCACAGTGCGCGCCGGGAGTGGCTCGCCAGGCACTCATGGAGGAGGAGCTCGAGAACAGAAGGAAGGCTCGTCGTTAGCCCCTCTCCTACCGTGTGAATCCGGGACAGCGGTCAGCAGACAGCAGCCCGGACGAGGCGGCCGCTGCGACCTCAGGCGCCTCACCTTGTGGGCCGCAAAGCTCGCTTCGTTCTTCTCCAGCGCCCGCTTCGCGTACTCCAGCGCCTCGTACACCAGGGCCTTTCTCTCCTCCGCTGAGGTTCCGCTAAGCTGAGCCAGGTCCCGGGATGCCCGCGCCAGACGCCACAGCAACTCGGCATCTTCACTAATTTGAAGTAAATAGAAAACCACCATTTTATTGATTTTAGAGAGAAACATCAATGACCTCCTGTATGCACCCCAATTGGGGACCAAACCACAACCTAGCTATGTGCCCTGTCTTGGGACTCGAACCCATGACCTTCTGGAGTTTAGGACGATGCTCCAACAAACCGAGCCACTCAGCCTGGATAAAAGCACCATTTTAGCTCGCATTTTGAAAACCGTCAAAGGTCACATCACTAAGGAATACATTGGTCTTTCAGTTCGGTGAGGGTACAGCCAACAGCACAATATCAAGTGCCGTTATTCATAACATTCCTTTTGTTATTCTCTCACATGACTTTACTTGCTACAATTTCCTACAAAATACCCAGTATCACACATAGATATTTACTTACCTTAATACCTAATTACACACCTTCCTTCGAACACCTGCCCACGAAGCGCAGCCTGTAACCAGGGCTGGACTGCGAGCCAGTGCTCACACAGCACAGCAGGCACGGCGGCCTGACACACAGCGTCTGGCTACGGCACAGCCTGCTGAGCCCGCCCCACGGTCCGTCCACAACAGGCACCGAAACGTGCATGTCAACGAATGACTGAGGACGACGTAACCTCCAAACGCACCGTGTCTGAACCATGGGGAGTGGCATTTCTCAAGTAAGGGCACTCAACTCCTTGAAGAAGGATGTGATTGAAATTAGTGTCTGGTATAAGATTTAAGTGAGTTGGGATAGTTGCATGCCTCCACTGGACGGTATCTGTGTGTCATTTTGGAAGCACGGTTTTTTAGAGAAACTAAAAACCCCTCCTTTTTAAAAAATAGAGTGCCTGTCCTGGCCCGTGTGGTGCAGTTGGTTGTCCCAGGCACCAAATGTCACACGCCGTGGGGCGGGCCACTTACACAGAATGATGTAAATTAAGAAATGGTTAATAAACAAAAGAGTAACCACAATTAAGAGGCAGAAATAGTTTTAAAAGTAACCTTAAATTCCTTTTTGTTAAATGTCTACCTTTAAGTCTACTGTTATATACAGCATGGGGCAAAAATAAGTTTACAGTTGTTTATGTGGTAAATAATATAATAATTATGAAATAATATAAGAATAAACTTTGTTACCTACTTTTGCCCCACCTCTGTGGGGTTTTTTGGTTAATCCTCGCCCAATAATATTTCTTCCATTGATTTAGACCAGCCGTGGGCAAACTACAGCCCGCAGGCCGGATTCGGCCCGTTTGAAATGAATAAAACTATTGAAAAAAAAGACCGTACCTTTTTATGTAATGATGTTTACTTTGAATTTATATTAGTTCACACAAACACTCCATCCATGCTTTTGTTCGGGCCCTCCGGTCCAGTTTAAGAACCCATTGTGGCCCTCGAGTCAAAAAGTTTGCCCACCCCTGCTTTAGACAGAGTAGAAGGGAGGGGGAGAAACAAAGAGAGAGCGAAAACATCACTGTGAGAGAGACACATCGACTGGCTGCCTCCCACACACGCCCGAACCAGGGCCGAGGATTGAGCCTACAACCAAGGTACATGCCCCCGACAAGAATCGAACCTATGACCCTTCAGTCTGCGAGCTGACCCTCTAACCCAGTGTTTCTCAACCTGTGGGTCACGACACCCCTTTGGCGGTCGAGTGCCAAAGACCATCCTGCATATCAGATATTTACATTATGATTCATAACAGTAGCAACATTACAGTTATGAAGTAGCAACAAAAATAATTTTATGGTTGGGTCACATGAGGAACTGTATTTAAAGGTCCAGAAGGTTGAGAACCACTGCTAAACGCTGAGCCAAACTGGCTAGTGTTATTTCTTCTTTAAATATATATATATATACTAGAGGCCCAGTGCACGAAATTCATGCACTCAGTGTGTGTGTGTGTGGGGGGGGGGTTCCCTCAACCCAGATTGCGAGAGGGTGCAGGCCAGACCGAGGGACCCCACCGGTGCACAATTGGGGCCAGCCAGGGAGGCACCGCGGGAGGGTTCCAGGGCATGTCTGGCCCATCTCGCTCAGTCCTGATCGGCCAGACCCCAGCAGCAACCTAACCCACCAGTTGGAGCGTCTGCCCCCTGGTGGTCAGTGCATGTCATAGCGAGTGGTTGAGGAGCCTTAGCATATCATTAGCATATTACGCTTTGATTGGTCGAATGGCCAACTGGACACTTAGCATATTAGACTTTTATTATATAGGATTATTTATTTTTAGAGAGAGAAGGAGAGAGAGAAACACTGATGTGAGAGCAGAACATGGAGCAGCTGCCTCCTATCAGGGATCAAGCCCAAAACCCAGGCATGTGCCCTGACTCTGAATCAAACCCACAACTTTTGGTGTAAAGGACGATGGCCAACCGAGCCACACCAGCCAGGGCCCACCCTGTATTTGTTAACAAAAATGGTACTAATAGAATTTTAGACTGCAGAAAGCAACAGCATATTTATAACTCAATGACTATGGAGTAACACCTAACAGCTAACTTTTCAAGTAATTACTGAAGTCAGTGTACAATGCAAACCAGTCACCTTAAGTTACTGAGGGGACTGTGGAAGGAGACAGGTCCTGTAGATACTTAGGAAGTAGAAGGATCGGGGTCTTGGGAATCCAAGTCAAGCAGTAGAAAATGACTCTATCTTTAGTTAAGGATGTGAGGTTGATCAATGACCTGAAAATACCCTGACTTACTTTATAGTCTGAATCCACTCCACCTCTATCCGCTCCCCAAAAAGTATACACTGAAACTCTGGACTAAACATGTACTGTATTTTTATTTTATTTTTAAAAATTGATTTGAGAGAGAGGGAAACATCGATCGTTGCCCCTGTACACTCCTCCACCAGGAACTGAACCAGCTGTCTGGGTATGTGCCCTGACCAGGAAATCCAACAGGCGACATTTGGTGCCTGGGACAACCAATTGCGCCACACGGGCCAGGACAGGCACTCTATTTTTTAAAAAGGAGGTATTTTTAGTTTCTCTAAAAAACCGTGCTTCCAAAATGACACACAGATACCGTCCAGTGGAGGCATGCAACTATCCCAATTCACTTAAATCTTATACCAGACACTAATTTCAATAAATGATAAATATACAATAGAGATGACAAACATATTCAGCAACTTACCTTTATGATCCAAAACAAAATCACAAAATGGATAAAGTATTTCAAATTTGTACTAGAATAAGTTGGACAACCTTTTCTAAATCAAAATGTAGCATTTTGGAATCATTTAATGTAAGAAAGAAAGAGCTATACGTGAAACTCTAAGAAGTGCTGCTTTGAATAGAAACCTTTAGGAACTATGAAACCTCTGGCACCGGGACTCAGGCCGAGTGCGAATATACACGACAATGGAGAGGAAGCCGCAGCCCAGGCCCCGCTGCTCACCTGTCCTTGTGCTGGGTCAGCAACTGGTAGAGTCTCTCCGTCTCCCCGCTTTCGTAGAGGTAGTCTGCTTGTTGGAGGATTTCTTCAACTCGGAAGCCTATGAAAAAACAGGAAGTAGGTCTTCCAAGCCACATGGCAACGAGTCTAAGCGGCACTTTCATATACAAGCAAAGAAAATTAGAAAGACTCTGATGTATCTCAATGTGTAAGCATGAAGCTATCGTAGGGATTTACTTACACCATGGAAAAAATATTAGAAAGCTTGTTCTGCTACTAAATATGATGCATTTTTAAAAAGGAGAAAGGGACCTCCTGTGAGGTGTTAAGGTGCCTCCTCACCCTCCAGTCTTCACTATTCTGCTGCTAAGTGCCAGCTGTGGACCAGGACAGAACACCCAGCCACATTACCCACCTGCGGGCTGACGACTAGATCCTCTTTACGACCTGACTCACACAGACACGTTACAGGGAAAAAAGGCAAATGTGTCGTCATCAAAAACTGAGGTGAAATTGACAACAGAGAACCTGAACCATACTTCACTGATCCGTGCTCCAACCACTCATCGGCTGGTCTAGACACCCTTGCCAACCCCTAACCCTTACCCACAGTGCAACGCTCTGAAAGTGACTAGTGATGAACTCAGGATCCCCCAGTGTTACTAGGAACAGACCCTGAATCTTGTCTTCTGTCAAGGTGCTTACTGCTCAGTCCTATGAGCCCCACATTCTAATGTGTCCAGTTCACTTTATTATTCATTGTGGAATGCTCTGACTAATCACAGTGCATCGCAGGTTAGAGTTTTTGAAATACTAAAACCTAGATCAGTGGTCGGCAAACTGCGGCTCGGCAAACCGCAGCTCCTGAGGCACATGCGGCTCTTTGGCCCCTTGAATGTGGCTCTTCCACAAAATACTGACTTCTGCGCATGGGCCACGTAGTTTCAATCGCACTGTACGTGCGCGCCCGCATGTGCTATTTTGTGGAAGAGCCACACTCAAGGGGCCAAAAAAGGGAAAAAACTCATGAATTTATGACACAACCATAAAGTATTTTTTAAGTTAACATCATGATCTAATCATACTAGTGTAAGAAAAATAACAGCAAAAAAACCCTAAAATTATAGTTTAAAATTTCTTCTTTAATCCTTAAATCTATGCTAGAGTTTAATAATATTCATCTGGTTAACAGCTGATTAATTTTCTTAAGTTTGCTTCCATTGTATTCTATATTTTTATCAATGACTGATTCTTCCAATTTGGATTAGAACAACCTAAAATTCTTTAAAAAGGAGTAAGCAGCAGTCTCAGCACCCTTAGTCGGTACTGGTGGCAGAACAGGCTCCCATCAGGTCCACATCCCGATCCCTGGAACCTGTGAAAACCTGGCGCTCACAGGTAAAGGGGAGTTAAGTGTACAGATGGATTAAGGCTGCTAATCAGCTAACTTCAAAATAGGAAACCATCTTGGATCTGGGTGGGCCCAAGATCATCACAGGCCGTTAGACGGCGCTGAGGGGGCAGAAGAGTCAGGAGGTCTGACCATGGAGACAGGCCCGGGACAGGGCTGGGCTGGAGCCAGGATGGGCTCTCAGACAGGAGTGTGGAGGAAGCCTCTGAGTGGAGGAGCCAGGAACACTTCCCTCGAGCCTCCAGAGAACGCAGCCCTGCCCAGCCCTGCCGTGAACCCAGCGGGGCCCACTTTGGACTCCTGACCTATGAACTGGAAGGTAGTACATCTGTGTTGTTTGGAGTCACTGAGTGTGTGGAAACGTGGTGCAGTGGTAACAGAAACCACATGATATCAAGTACACTGGTCTGGCAGGTCTGAGTGTGCACATGGCATGTGTGAGCAGCAGTTACACTCAATCCTACTCACACTCATGGAAGCCCTCCCACTCCCCAAGGACCCTGGCAGAGACCACTGTCCCTAACATGACCCAGACTCCACAGTCACCACCCAGGCGATTAGAAGAAACATGTAGAAATCTAGTGAACAATGTAAAGTATTTAGCTTCTTTGTGCTTGTTATTCTTCTATAACTTCTTAAGTCACTTACCTCCAGTTCCTTTACTCTACAGCACAGCACATGCGCTACATGTCCTGGCTCAAATACGCTTTCCCTGAGGCTAACAGCAGCTCTGAAGCCGCCAGGGTGTGGTTTGTAAGGAAAGGGGCACTTCCTCTGACACTGCAGACCCCAGCACTGGGTGGGGGCATGCAGACACGCACACCTCTGCAAATCGGCTGTAAGTTACTCATTTCGTGCTCTGCACTTCCCCTGAAAACAGTTAAAAAATAAGCTAAGTTACTGACATAAAGAGACCATCCTCTATAAAAGGGACTCAACTTTTAAAGTAAGTTACTTTTCAACTTCAGTAAGCAATACATATTCCAAGATGAACTGAGATATTCATTTACCTACAACTGTACAGTGAAATTTTACATTTAGCCTAAAATGAATATTCGCAGAATCATAATTCTTGAATATTTGAATTTTTTAAGTCAATGATGTGACTGCATGTGTGTGGTGGTCAACTCTGGTGTGCTGGTTCTCGCGCTGAGTGCGCCCTGGAGCGTGTCAGAGGCCCCTGGACAGGGATGGAGCCCCCTCTAAGCTGGGAACAGCTCTATTTCTGAAGTTTCTCTGTAGAGGGCTTAGGAAGCGCTGCAGGGTCATCAGTAGAGAAGCAAGATAAGTGGAGAGAGGCTGAAGTGCTCAGCAGGCCATTGAGGGGAGGCCCTTTCAAGCGTGCACACACACACACACACACATGCAGTCACATCATTGACTTAAAAAATTCAAATATTCAAGAATTATGATTCTGCGCATATTCAAGAATTATGAGCACTGCGCATGTGCTACACACCGGGAGGGGCTTTAGGGTCTGTCCACTTGACGGCAATAAAAAACTTTCTGCTGAGTGCTTCGCCAGTAGGTACCTGGCACAATTGTGTCGTCAATAGAGACGTTGCCATTAAACAATGAGTCCCATAACCCTCTCCACTGGAATGCCAGAGCATACACGCCCTTAGATTAACTTCTAAAAATGTCACACTGCAAAAAAGTCTCCCTGCAGAACGCAATTCAATTCCAGTAAATGGAGAAAAATTTAACTGGTTTCAATGAGCATGAAGCAGATCTAAAGAGAATTAAACAAAAGCTTTCATGAGTGGAATTATTTGAAGACTAATTTCAAAAAATATGAAAAATAAGAACCACAGCACAGCAAAGCGAAAGGAGAGGACCAAGGAAGCTACGTTTTCACATGAACATGGAAGATTTTCCAAGTTACAAAAACATGGCTCATTTTATCAACAACTGATGTCTTCTCAGGGGCTACATCCTAGTTTCAGAAACAAATTACATGAACATGCCAATCAACTGATTATAAAGGGAGGTTTTGTTTAAGAAAACAAAGCTAGAGAAAATGAAGGGAGGCTAAATACACACCCACATTCTGTTCTCCGCACTAACTGTCAAGTGCTCTAAATACACCTGAAAATAGAGTAAGGTTCTAAAACACAGGCAGGTTTCATTACGATCTGCAATAAAAACAATGAATTCCGTTTTCAGAACAAGTTACACCTCAGAATATTAAAATGCTGCTTTTTCCAGCTTTGACCTGTTGCTAGGACTGGCACTACGTCTAGAGTTATTTCGCATATGTGCACTTCTACTTTCACACGGCCGAGCAAGTGGGACTCCTGACCAGCTCATCCATGCAGAGGTGGAAGCCAGCCAAAATTAAAGGACCAGCATGTGCTGGGTAAAAGGGTCAGGATTCCTGTAACTTAACACACATCCATCACACACACTGGGGGCCAAGTGACAGCTACATGCACAGCAGGCCAGCACTGCACGTCACAAGCCCCAGCGCATCTTGGCGCAGTCGCTCAGGAGCTGTGGAAAGTAGGTCCGCCTGGTGCTGAGTAGACACACTGGAGAACTCAGGCGTGCTACCACACTTCCGATTCCAACTCGCATGAATTCAAGTTCAGTCAAATGCTTGGTGTATAACCCTGTGCTACTGTCTCCTCAGTACGCTCAGAACAGTACGTTTAAATAACGTTAAATCTGAGCTCCTTCAGGATTTCCCCAGGTCTCTCTGCACTTTTTCAGAGGAGCCTCCTGGCCAGGGGTCAGCATCACCTTTCTGAGGTGGGGCCGAAGTACCATTCTCTCCCAGGACACTTACTCCCGGTGGAAGCCCCATGCACTCTCCTCCACTGAGCTGGAGAGGGGCCGGCAGCCCAGTTAGGGTGCCTTTCGTTTCCACCCCGCAGCCACAGGGAGCCACTTCTGGTGCACATGCCCACTCTCAGGAGCTCTCTCCTTTCCTGTACTGAGTTCAGATCCTTCAGAGGGACACCAGCAACGTTTGCGCCTTTGCACACCGTGCTCTGTGTCCCACAACCCCCTCCACTGGATCGTGCCCTCCATGGATCCGTCCACTTCAGATGTCAAGTGGATGCCAAACCACTGCCAATAAGAAACGGACATGGGAAGTGTCCAGATTCACCACTCCCAGTGACACACATTTTGGGAACACCCCCAGGCGACACGCACGGAAATATCCTGGGATGGAAACCACGCTCCGTCTGCAGCAGGGATGGCACTGAGCGTCATTATTTAAAGATGGACACGTGTGCCTGACAGCATCAGGCACGTTTCCCCTCCTCCGGGGCATGTGTCTGCTGCCAAGATCTCCAGGCTGGAGTCTGCAGGGACAAGGTCACCTCTGCTGGAAGCAGGCAAAGGCTGTCTGTCTGAACACCTGCTGTGGCACCGTAACCCAGCGGTCGCCAACCTTTTGGACTTCACGGACCCCAGTGGCCCGGACCACTGGTTGGCGACCACTGCTCCAAAGATTTCCTTAACCCAACGGTCACCAACCTTTCGGACCTCATGGACTCCAGTGGTCCGGACCACCGTTGGCGACCACTGGCGTCATCAATATCACAAAGCCAAGGGCACCGCTCAAGCACTTCATCAGGTGCTGAGGACCAGGCCAGGCGCACGACCCGGTTCCTGCCATGGAGAGCTCACTGCGGGGAATGGTCTCCTCTGAAGGGAATGTCTCCTCAGCTCACATCTGCCACCTGCCATTAGGTTGGGTGTTGCCTACAGGGACAGGGAGCCACCAAGGGTGGGCACCCCCAGCTGGTCCACGGGAGTCCTGGGGTCCCACTCCCCAAGCTCACTCAAGAAGTGGGGTAGCCCTAGCCAGTTTGGCTCAGTGGATAGAGCATCAGCCTGCAGACTGAAGGGTCCAGGGTTTGATTTCGGTCAAGGGCATATGCCTGGGTTCAGGTTCTATCCTCAGTAGGGGGCATGTAGGAGGCAGCTGATCAATGGTCCTCTCTCATCATTGATGTTTCTATCTCTCTCTCCCTCCCTCTCCCTTCCACTTTCTCTAGAAATCAATGGAAATATCCTCGAATGAGGAATAACAAAAAAATAAATAAATGAAAGCTGATTTGTTCTATTTGCCAAAATATGTCATTGAGCCAGAGACAAAACCAAGTCCTCTATTTTGTCCTTCATGAAAATGGAGGACAAAAAAGATAAAAAACACATAGAAGTTCTCAATTACCTGATTTTTGAATAGTCACAGGTAAATAAAACCAGTAACTAGTAATTTTTAGCTAGTATTCTGAAATTCTTTACATATCAGAACTTTAGTAAGAATGTCTATTCAAATCAAATCTCTGCTTCTTTCCCCACCTCCTTCATAATGATTAAAAAGTGGGGCTGTGAAAAAAGGCTTAACCCATCAATTAAGAGTTTTTCTAATATGCTGAAATTTTGGCTCTGTCTACATACATACACAACTTAACTAAATTTTTAAAATATGGCAACTCTAAATATATGTTTATTTAGGTACAGTATGCCAAATAAGTAATTTGATGTAATTTTTCTACTTTTCAACCAGTTATTTGATATTTAATATCAAATTGCATTCTGTTTATAAACTAAATACTTCCATCTCAAAGTAACTGGGCCCTTGGTAACTGTGCCAGGAGGAGTGCGCCACAGCACAAGGGAACGAACGAATCACTGTGCTGCTATGAGCAGAGACTGCCACCACCTTCTCTCCCGGCCGAGTCAGCGTGGTCAGCGTGTGGCTCAGATATGGTCTCTGTGGGATATTCTCTTTTCCCTCCACAGCACCTCAGCCCTTTAAAAATGTATCAAACACTCTTACCCCAAGGATCCTACAGAATTATAACATATTAATAGGATATTTCTCACGGAAGGAGCTATAGCTATAGAAGAATATATGTCAGACCTACATGTAGAGGAAAGCAGAAAATAATCTAGCCTGTAATAATATTAGTTTTAATATCTACTAAAAAATAACTAGGTTATTAACCCAAAAACGACACACATAAATCACTACGTGTTCCTGATGACTAGCTGGCTTACCTTTGGCTGCGGCATGAACCACAGCAGCTGGAGAAAGGAGCTGGTAAGTTTCAAATCCCAAGTAAGACCAGGCTGAGAACATAAGGCTTCTTCTGAAAGCTCCTGGGTTTCCCCGCACCTGTGGGAACATCACACAGAACATCTGAAGCAACTGCTACAGCAAGCAAAGATCCCATCCCTCGTCTTCAACCCCAACGCGACCAATCCTAAGATGGTAGAAGCTTCAAATTCACCTCATCAAATTCCTCAGTGAAACGACTGCACATTCCTGCGTTACAGGGAGAGCATATACCGTTAAGAAAAGGAAAATTTGTAACAACTGCTAAGGGTGGCAGCTTATCTAATACTCAGTCATGTTCACTGACAAGTGCTAGACTGAGGAGGATAGTCTACTGCTAAGGCTCAATATACAAAACACCAACATATAACTGCCAGTCCTTTTTTAAAACTAATTCTTCTTTTTTACTGATTTCAGAGAGAGGAAATGAGAGAGAGAGAGAAACGTCAGTTTGTTGTTCCACTTGTTTATACATTCATTGGTTGATTCTTGCATGTGCCCTGACCGGGGACTGAACCCACAACCTTGGTGTATCAGAACTGCTCTAACCAGCTAAGCGACTCGGCCAGGGCAATCATAGCAGTCTTAAGACCACACAAGATGAAAAATATTATCTACTACAGCCCGGTGCATGGAAATTCACGCACTGGAGGGGGGTCCCTCAGCCCGGCCTGCCCCCCGCACAGTCCGGGAGCCCTCAGGGGCGGGAAGCGACCCGGGCAAGCCTCGGGCGGGCGGCCCTGGGAGGCTGTGGGGCTGAGGGGACTGGGGGACTCTGGAGGCAGGCGCCCCGGCCTGGCTGAGGGAACTGGGCGCTGCCATCTTTGAGGGTGGGGCAGTCAATTAGCATATTCCCTCCTTATTGGCTGTGGGTGCCACCATCTTTTGCGACAGTGTGAGGGTCAATTAGCATAGTCCCTCCTTATTAGATAGGATGATAATTACTTTGCATGAAGGTGTGAATGACTTTAAGTAAAGATTCTTCAAAAGTGACCCACAGCCCTGGCCAATGCAACACAGCTGGGTGAGCACCTCCTGTGCACAAAGGATCCGATTCAGTTCCTGGTCGGGTACAATCCCTGGTTGGGGTGTGCCCAGCTGACTGCTTTCTCTCTCACCCTTCCCCACCCCTCTCTTTCTCTCTCTCTCTCTCTCGTCCTTCCTCTCTCTCTAAATCAATAAAAACATATTTAAAAAAATAAAACAGTGGCATGTCATTAAAAAAAGTGATCCACAAACCCACAGTTTTCAGTAAACAATGAATAAAATGAAGAATATATCCAAGATATAGAAACGACTTTTCATAACTCTGGCCAGAACCCCCAGGACCCCCAAGAAAGGAGGCATGTGTGGGTCTCCCCGCCCCAGGGAAGTGCGCACCACCACCTCCCTTCCTGCTGGCTCAGTCCATCCTATGCAACAAGCCCTGCCCCGTGTGTGAGCTGGGAGCTCCCTCGCCTTAGGGCAAAGTGCACACCGCTCCCTCCTGACTTCACCTCTTCCTGGTCTCGCTTTCCAACTTCTCTTTTCAAAACTCTAAAATGCCGTCTGCACGCTTACCCTTCCACCTCCTCCTCCCATTCTCTCGAGCTCACACACACCCACCTGTACCCCACACTCCACTGCGGGTGCCTGGCTATAAGCAAGGGCGTGCCGCTGTCTGTGGCCATTCTCGCTGCCTCTGACTGGACCCAGCAGCAGCATTTCATAGCAGCTCCCTCCCTCCTGTTTTTTTCTTAAATCATGAATGGATGCTAGATTTAAAACGAGACATGTGACATACAATAAACAGAACATACATACGTGTACCATTGAAGAAACTTTACAAGCCTGTAAAACCATCACATCAGTCACGACAATGAACTGCCTCTCTGGAACTACCCACCCTGGTTCCTGACACCCTCCATGGCTTTGGCAATACTCTCTTGAATTCCCTCCTGTTGCAACAATGGCTCCTTCTCTTTTGTTGGTTCCTCATCTCCAATACCCACCCGCCCAGTGTGTCCTGAGCTCAGCCTCAGGCCTCCTTTTCCGTTTGTATCACTGGTATCACACTTCGTTTCACGACTTTAACCACCACCAACACGCCAAAAACCCGCCTGTGACCGAGCCAGGATGTCTCCTGTAAACCTCAGAACCCTAATGCAGCTGCCTAATCCACACCACTCTCCACATGAAGGACGACAGGAGCCTCGAGTCCATCAGCCGTGGCAGCTACGTCTCTAAAACCACTCCCCCGTTTTCCCTCTCATGGTAAATGACAACCGATTCTCCTGGTTGTGCAGCTTAACAACACACACACACACACACCCTCTGCAGTGGTTCCGCCTCGCTCGCCCCCTGAGGCACCTGATCCACATAACTTCTCATGAGCGTCTGCGTGGGAATGAGGAACCAGCATACTGCAGCTGCGGAGCGCTTTATTTACTTGCTTTCGCATGAGTATTTGGGACATCACACAACTGGATTCAAAACACATCAACAGCACTCTAGCCGGTTTGGCTCAGTGGTTACAGTGTCAGGCCACAGACTGCAGGGTCAAGGGTTCGATTCCAGTCAAGGGCACGTACCTCGGTTGCAGGCTCAATCCAGGCACATGCGGGAGGCAACCAATGGATGTCTCTCTCTAACATCGATGTTTCTGTTGCTATCCATCCCTTCCACTCTCTCTAAAAAGCAATGGAAAAAATATCCTCAGGTGAGGATTAACAAAACAAACACACACATCAGCAGCAAAGCAGGAAAAGTAAATTTGATGTAAGCAAATTTTTAACACTGAATTTTCTGGGTTTATTTGTATTTAACAAAGGGAAGCAGGATAGGGTGGGGCAGAGGGTGTGTGTGTGTGTGTGGTGATGGTGGTACCTAGAAAAAGAAGAGGAAAAAGACTAAGATTTTATCAGTGTCTCCTAGTTCCCGAGCTCTGGCAGGTAGATCACACAGCAGAAAAGGCTGCACAGACTTGAGGAAACTATACCTTAGGGTGCTGGGCTCCCTGCTGACATCATGCTCAATAGGCCACCCTCTGGCTTTCTCATAGGGAGGAATGCATGGATGGGCAGCTGATATTTACACGTCTTATTGTAATGAATGCTGTTAGACTCTTCCCTGTGTGTTTAATGCAAAGCACCTTTCTGCTTATCTCTGGGAAAATAGATACACTCTTGTTTCTGGAACTAAAATCAATTAAGAGAATCAGGACTCAGTGACATTCCAAGAGCTACAAACATATGAGTCTAAGACAGCAGAGTGCGGCTTTCCCCTCGTACCCCCAGCACAATGCCTTGCACAAATGAATTCTCAAGAAACATTTTCTGAATAGAAGCAAGAAGCTATCTCTTAGACAAGTGTTTCCTCCAACATTACTTATACTAACTTCTAGCTATAAAGACTTCAAAAATGCAAACTCATCACTAGATTACAAAGCAGGAAGGCGGCACACCATCTCCTAACCTCCCACCAGCTCCTCCCCCTCGTCAATGTTGCTGGTACCAGGTCTTCTTCGGTCTTACATACCACGGCATTACTACTAAAGTCTCCCGAATCCTATCTGCAGCCCAGACCTGTCCAACCACTGTCTTCTCCATGTCACCTTGGCCACCTCATCACTCACCTCAACAGCCCAAACAACTCCTCTCCTCCCTGGGCCAGAGCGCCCTCTGCAGTCTGATCCCAGGAATTGGCACCATCACCCCGTGCTCCAGCCAGAAACCTAAGACTCTTCCTTGACCCCTTCTCTCCACCCCCACACACCAAACCTATCTCTGGAGTTCGTACGTTTACCTCCGCAACCGCCTCCCAGTGCACCCACTGATTTCCCGGGCCACTGCCACCACCACAGCTCAAAGGACCACACTGCTCACCTGTCCCACAGCAACGATCTACTACCTCGTCTCCAGCATCCACTAGCCCATGATTTTAAAAATGTTCAAAACTCTCTCATGGTTTCCTATAGCCTCAGAATAAAATCAGGTGTACAAGGTTTTTCAGAACCTGGCTGTAGTCGGCGACCGCCACAGTGGCCCCAACAGGTTCCCATACAAGAAAGCAATGGAGGAGGATCCTGAACATACTTCCTCCCACAGACACACCAAGTGTACACTACAGACAAAATTTCCTCTGAAAGAAACCAAAATCTAGGCAAGTGACTCCTATGCATCAAGAAAGTATGGAAAAAAACCGTATTGAGACAGATGGGGGAGGCTGAGATAGTCTTCCCATAACCCCAGCCTTGACACCCAACCTTCTCCCTGAGCAGCAAAGGGTTTGAACCCCACACCGGGCACCACAACTTTTAGACCCACAACTGAGAGACAAGCCCCCAAAACATCTTGCTTAGAAAGCCAATAAGGCTTGCAGCCACGAGACCCACAAGGCCATAGCAAACTGAGAAACTGTTCTTAGATATTCCCAGCCTTGTCGGCTAGCTCAGTTAGAGCG